TTGGAGGTCCTAGCTAATTTTTTCCTTTAGAAAGAAGAAATGGAACTGTCATTTTAACAGGGGGGAGCATAACTGGATACATAGATAATCTAAAAGAATTGACAAATTACTGAAATAAGTTTATCAAATATTCCGGACATGAGGTCAATATACAAAAATTAATTATTTTTATATTCTAGCCATAAAAATAATAAAAAGATATTTAAAAATTTACAACATAAAAATATCAAATACTGAGTAATAAAGCTAATGAAAGATGTGTAAGACCTCTACAAAGAAGACTAAAAATATTAAAGTGAAGAAGACACATTAATGGAGAGATACCAAGTGGAAAATTCATTGTTGAATGTCATTTCTGACCAACTGATCTATAGATGAAATGAAATTACAATCACTATCCAAACATATTTGTGTGCAAACTGACAAGTTTTTTCTAAAACTTATATGAAAAGAAAAGACCTAAAATAGCTATAGCATTCTTGAAAAAGAGCTACAAAAACAAAATTGAAGGACCTATACTACCAGCAATACTATAAAGCTACAACAAATAAAACAGTGTGGAACCGGATTAATGGTAAGCATGCGAATGAAATAGAACATAAAGTCTAGAAACATGCACATACATGGTAGAGTACACTAATTTGTGGCAAAAGTACCATTTTAGTGTAGTGGGGGAAATGATAGTTTTCTCATAGATGGTCCTTGTCAACTGGATACCTAAATGAAAGTAATAAACCTTGACTCTTTCCTCACATTAGACACAGAAATACATTTCAAATGGAACTTGAACTTAAAAGTGAAGGTACAACAATAAGCCTCCTAGAAGATAGGGAAATAGTTTTATGAACTTGGGGTGAGCAAAGATTTTCTTAAAAATAAAACAAAGCACATAAAGCACTAACAATAAAAGAAAGTATTGATCAATTGAATAACATTAGCATTAAAAACTTCTGCTCATGAAAAGATCACCTTTAAGAGAGTAAAAGGCAAGGCACAGAATGGGAAAAGATATTTTGCCCTATATACATCCAACAAAAGTACTTCTTTTTATGTATGTATCTACCTACCTACATACATATGCAAAATTTCTTATATATCAAAGAAAGCTGGCAACATAATAACAATGAGTAAAATACTTGAATATCTTATAAAAGAGGATATTAAAAATAGTCAATAAATGTAAAAGTTCATCAAAATCATTAGACATCAGTGATATGCACTGCAATTTAATTCTACAGCAAGACAGCACTATATACACTCCAGAATGATTGAAACTGAAAAAAGAAAATTGGCAAGTATGTGGAACAAATAGAACTTTTATACACCGTTAATGGAAGTAAAATTGGTGCAACCACTTTAGAAAATTTGGTAGTATTTCCTGAAGCTGAACAGCTGAACATATGCATACCCTATGACCTCAAAACTCACTCCCAGATACATGTAACACAGAAATGAGTTATATTTGTATTAAAAATTAGACAAGGTTGGTCATAACAGCTTTACTTATAATAGCCCCCAACTGAAAACCACCTAAAATGTTCAGCAATAATAAACTGCATAAATAAATTGAGATATATTCATATAATGGAACATTACACATCAATAAAAATCATTCAGCAACATAGATGAATATCATACACATAATGTTGAACAAAATAAGCAAAAAATAAAAGTAAATACTGAATGATTCCATTCATCTGAGAGTCCAAAAACCCACAAAACTAATCTATGATGATAAAAGTCAGAATAGCAGGTAACTTTGTGGGGGTTAGTGGCTGAGAGGGGCATAAGGGGAGGTGCGCGGGGTTCCAGTAACATTCCATATCTTGATCTGGGTAAGTTTACTTGGTGTATTCATTTGTAAAAACTAGTCTACCTGAACTTTTAAGAATTATGCACTTTGAGATTTACATATTGTACCTCAATTTAAAAAAAGTTTACCTCAAAAGAGGTAAGGCCAAGGAATACAAAAAGAAATTACAAATAAAAGCAAGAGCTGTGGTATTAATACCAAACAAGGTGAATTCAGGTGAAGGACACAATATGAAATGAACAATGGTGATTAATGGTAAAGAATGTATTTTTTGTGTATATATCTTTGAATATTTACACATGAATATTTTAAAAAATAAACAGCAGATACAAGGAAAAATAGAAACACATGATTAATACAATATTTTAATTCACCTTTTCCCCATCTTTGACAAGTCAAGTAATCAAAATATAAGTAATGACATGAGAGACTTAAATAACATGATTAATAAGGTAAAACTTACAGCTACCTAATGCCACACATTTACATTAAATAACTCTTGGGTCAAAGAAATATAAACAAACTGTTTACTATATAGAAAATACTGTTAATGCAATCATAATATATCAAAAGCTATTACATGTCAAAACAGAGTTCAAAGAGAAATTTTGCCTGGTTTCATCAATATGTAAGAAACAATAAATGTAAATGAATTAAGCATCTACCACAAAAACGTGAAAAAGGAAAAAGTAAAATGAAGGAAAACAGAGGAGACTAATAAAGATATAAAGCAGAAATCAGTAAGCTAAAAAACAAATTAAAAAACCAGTAAAACCACTGTTTGGGTTTAAACAGCAAAATAGATCAACTTAGTTACCCTAATTAAAGAAACGCTCTCAATCTTTTCATATGTGTATTGTATATTTTTAGAAATGTTCCATAATGAAAAAATTTTTCTTTTCAGAGAAAGTACAAACATACAAGATAAGTAAATATAAAGGGTAAATGACAGGGGAATTCTACTAAAATGTTAAAAAGTAGATAACCAATAGTATTTAAATTGTTGGGCATAAAGAAGTCCTTAAAAGAAAAGATCAGTGATTAGAAAAAAACTGCTCTAAGGCAAGATATACCCAAGCAAAGTTAAAAGTTAAAATTGAGAAAAATATTTGGATCTCATGTCATAAAGCGAAAATCTTCTTAACTTATGAAGAGGACTAATTAATTTAAAAAGAATGAACAACCTATAGAAAATGGGCAAAGTATATGAATAGATAATTTACAAAAAATATTTAAAGAACTCTTAAATATATAAAAGGGTGTTCAACATCACTTATAATATGTGAGAGGTAAACTGCAACTGCACTGACATATTCTTTTTACCAAATAGACTTGCAAAGATAAAAAAATTTGATAACCAATATTTTCATGTTATTGCTAGAAGGAGAGAGAACTGTTGCAAACCCCAAGAAGAGCAGTTGGGGAGTAGCTTTAAAGATTAAACAGGTGTATACTCTTTGACCCAGCAACTTCAATTTTAGGAATTTATCTGATAGATATACCCGCACACATTTAAAGTGAGGAATGTACCAAGGTTAGTCACTGTGGCATTGTTTGACATAGCAATAGACTGGTACTAAACTATGTGTCCTTTAATTGGTAAAATGATTAAATAAATTATAGTACACATATAATTCAATATCATATAAATGCAAATAATAAGAAAATATTTTATGTAATGAAATAGAAAGCAAGATACACTGTAAAGTGAAACAAGCAAAGTACAACGAAGTGCATAATATTACTACTATTGTACAAAACAGAAGGCAAAAATCTGTTTCTTTTTAGTTTGTTTACAAACACAAATTGCCTGGAAGGATAAACAAGAAACTACCAATAATGTTTAATTTTTCAAGAGAGTAGAAACAATGCATGGGGAAGGATGGGAGGGAAATTTTTTTAATTCCATTTCTTTTTGATATTAGAACCTAATAAATGTATTACTATTCAAATTCAGATTATGGATGAGAATTTAAAGTGAGGTTAAATTAGCTGAATTTGATACAGAATATTAAATTATATTTTAATTGAAGATTTCTGACATGGGAAAATATCAAAGTAATATTTTAAGGAGATTAATTTTGCAACATGATACGCAAAATGAATTCTAAGAGGGAGAGATGGAAAATAGAGACACCTGTTAGAGTAATTTTGTAATATTCTAGGTATGGTGTAATAAATACCTATATTAGGATGGTGCCAATGGGAATGCAAAAGAAAGGGTAAATGTATGAGACCATGCTTAACATGAAAGCAGTAAAATAAGGATTAGATGGATATGATTAAAACAGAAATTTACACAGTACATAACTAGATTCTATTCAGCCTACATTCCTGAAGAATAACAATAAACAACCAGCAACTCTTAAGGAAGTAGATTGAAGAATGTCACAATTCCAGCTGAATTTCTAAAAGTCAAAATTCATTGCTTTACAAAGCGATAACTAAATGTTTATAAATTTGCATGAAGTTAAAAATAAAATATTTAAATAAAATAAATAAATAAATAATTTTTTGATACTCTATGAAAACAGATCTACAATTCAATGTCAAAGATATACCTAATTTTTTGGTGCTTAAAAATTTACACATTACTACGTATATATTACAGAAAAATCAAGTAAATAAAAAATTTTTAAAAAGCAAATTATTCACAATGCTGACACCCAACAATTTGTACTATACCTTTTTTTTCACAGACCTTAAAAACTTATTCCTAAGAAGCTTTATACTCATATTTTTAATATAATGGGCTCACAACATATACTATCATTTTTCTTTTGCCAATGAATATACATGTTTCAAAACTATGATCCAGAGGGATGGTTTCATATGCTACTGCACCTACAGTATATATTTCCCACTAATTCAGCTCTAGCTATGAGACAGTTTCTGTATAATATTAAAATTTTTACTTAGCATTATTAATACATCTGCAAATTAACTTCCTTTAAAATGTTTTTAAAAGTATTATACCTCTGATCTTAATTTTTTGGGAAGTAATAAATATTTTAAGACATTTATTTCTATTTTATTTTGGAATAGAATTTGCTTATGGTAAAAATTTCAAAATGAAATTACACCTAATTACCAAAATTATGAATTTCTCAAGAATTATGAAGATAACGCAGTAGATTACTGCAGTGAAGTAATCTTCAGAAGATTGAAAAATACCACTCATGTTTACCTGAAGTGGGAGACTTGCAACGCTCAAGTTCCAGGGGAACTGGACTGTCATTCAGCTCAGTTAAACCTGAAAATAAAATGACAAAAAATGAGAAAATTTGCTAAAATTTCGTAAATAATTCTTATTAATTCCTATAAGTTTTAAAAGGTTTTATTTTTCCCCTGTGAGAACTTTTCTATGCTTATGTTATGACAATTATTTTGAAAAATTTTAACAATGACATAGGAAAAAATAAGCAATAACTAACTGATATATAAAGGGTAATTGAATATGATGGTGGAAAGATATAAAATTCCTTTTCTTATTTTTCCATATGAAGTAACTATTTTAGTAAATGATGTAGTTTCATCTGAAAATAGACCAAGAAAAACATGAAGTAGAAGGGGTTTTTAAAAAGATCTAATCAAATCTTCCACTTCCAAGAGAAATGGTTATTGGCTTTTTAAAAGACCTTCAAGGAGATATAACAAATTTTAAATATTATACCTATTTATAAAAATGCAGTATTGTATAGTAAATACTAAATGATTTGTTCAATGGTATCAAATTCCTTCTTATAATAAGCACTATATTTTCCTCATTTCTAATATTTCTTATATTCTATTGTCACTTTCCTGAAAAATATAAGGATAGGCACAATAGATTAATAAACAATTTGTAATTCCCACTATCTGCCAGTATGCTTTCCTGTGTCATTCACAAAATATACTTAGGGTTTTCCTACCCTTATTGGAGAGTTTCATATTTTTTCTTTGTAAACAAGTATTCAGAGTTTCTACTTTAATGTAAATCCCCATACCCAGGGGTACTTAAGAGCCATTGTTAATTACCCAAACCATCTTTATTCATATTCCTTTCCATCACCTCCTTCTTTATATAATTTGTACCAATAAACTTGCTGTAGGGTCAAAAAAATCATAGAATTTTAGAAAATGTCCATTGTCACACTCTATCCCAGCCCTTACGTTTTATAAATAAGAAACTGTAAGTTTGGAGAGTTTAAACTATTTAAGGTTACAGAACTGAGTAGTGCCAAATCTTAAATAGAATTCTTTACATATTTTGCTTAAGAGTCTTTTGTCAGAAGTAGGTATTCTGAATATTTTCTTCCATTTGTGACTTTCCATTTTCTTGGTGACAATAAGATGTCTTTTCATGAGCAAAAGATTAATTTGCCTTAAGGGCAATTTATTGATTTTTTTCTTTTCTTTAGAATGTTTTTTTTGATTCCTGTATAATTAATCATTGTCTACCCCATGGTAATGAAAATATCACTCTTTGTTTTCTCAAGAAACTTTTTTAATTTTTAGCTTTCATTTTCAGGACTATAATTAATCTCAAGTTAATTTTGATTATGGTGTGAGGTAGGGATTAAGGTCCATTTTCCCCCTATCTATTTGCCCAGTTGTTCATGATTATTTATTAAAAAGATTTTCCTTCCTCATTGATTTGTGTTAGTGCCTTAGTCAAAAATAAATTGACCATGTATGTGTGGGTCAAATTCTGGATTCTCTATTCTGTAATCATTGGCCTATTTGTCTTTTTTTTTGACTACCACACTAATTAATGCAGGTTTATATTACATCTTGTAATCAGGAAGTGAAATCTTCCAACTTTGTTCTTTTGCAAAAGTGTTTTAGTTATTCTAGATTCTTTGCATTTCTACATACATTTTAAAATCAGTTTGTCAATTTCTATAAAAAGATATGTTAGATTATTATTGAGTTGTGATAAATCTATAGATAATTTGGTAGAATAAATATCTTAAAAATATTGAGTCTTCCAACCCATAAAGATATACCATCTAATATCTCCTCCATTTAAATAATGTTTAAACATTTTCTTTCTGTAGATTTTAGTGTACAGGTCTTATACATGGCATTTTTCAAGTCTTCTATTTCCTCTTTGGTCTTCTGCCTAGTTCTCGTACTATACTTAAAAGTGGAGTATTAAAATTACCAATAATTATTGTTGAATTGTCTATCCCTTTGATTCTGTCAGATATTTTTTCATGTACTTTGTAGCTCTGTTGTCAGGTGCATATATTTATAATTGTTATATCTTTTTGATATATTGACCATTTAATCATTTTAAATTGTCCCTCTTTAGTGAAATTTTTTGATTTAAAATCTATTTTGTCTGATATTGGTAGAGCTATTAGATTACTGATCTGAGATCTTTTTTCTAATTTAAGCTTCTAATGTTGTAAATTTTCCATTAGGCACTACTTTAGTAACATCTCAATATCACAAATTTTGATATTTTGTGTTTATACTTTCACTAAGTTAAAAATATTTTTAAACTTCCCTTGTGATTTCTTTTTTAAGCCATGAGCTATTCTTAATTTTCAAATATTTGGGGATTTTAAGACATATTTCTTACTGATTTCTAATTTAATTTCTTTTGTGATCAGAGAACTTACTCTGCTTGATTTTAATTCTTTATTGTTTCATGACTCAGTCTATATTTGTGAATATTCCACATCTAATGAAAAAAATAGCTGCACCACCAGGGAAGCCCACTAAGTTAAAAATATTTTTAAACTTCCCTTGTGATTTCTTTTTTAAGCCATGAGCTATTCTTAATTTTCAAATATTTGGGGATTTTAAGACATATTTCTTACTGATTTCTAATTTAATTTCTTTTGTGATCAGAGAACTTACTCTGCTTGATTTTAATTCTTTATTGTTTCATGACTCAGTCTATATTTGTGAATATTCCACATCTAATGAAAAAAATGCACATTTTCATTAGTGTGGTGTAGGTGTCTATTTATGTCAGTTAGGTCAATTTGGTTAAGAGAGTTGCTTAAGTTTTTTATAGCCTTACCAATTTTTGTCCTTAGATAACTCAAGTGAAGTGCTAATCAATCAGATTCTACACAGTACTGAATTGAACTAGGGTTGGTCTGAAGCTTTAATTAGATTAGGTTTCCCTTCAAAATCTCTTTGCTCCTCAATCCAACACTCAAACTTCCCTAACCCTTCCTCAAGGGGCTGATTCCTACTTTTCCTAGTATTTGTGCAGAAAGAGGGTTGAGATGCAGTTTCAGATAGTTTAATTCAGCTTGGGTCAAATTCTATAATAACCCCTGAATGCAAGCACTTTGAGACTGCATAAATTCTCTGTGCTTTCTCATTTGCTGCCACTTTCTCAGAAAAATTCTGAGAGTGGTGGGGTTAGTTGGCAGAGAATTGCCAAACTGAATAATTTTGTGTTTAGAGCTATTTCGGATTCCCATTCAACAGTTCAGTCCAGATAGTCACTAAACCTATAGTTGTTCCTATTCTTTGCAGTCTGTCCATCTATAGAAGGCCCATTCCTTTCCTGACCAGCTCAGTCACTTGCCCCAGGTATAAAAGCAGCTGTGGTTTTCTGCTTATCTATGAATGGCTCTTATCTCTCTGGAATTCAGTTAATCAAGGCTTCTTTGAATCCACTCTTCAGAAGCCTCGTAGAAAAGTATAATTTTAATTTTATCATTGTTATTATCACAGGATTTTATTATTGTGTCATCATTATTACCATGGGTATGAAGAATTTTTATATCTTTCAACATCCTATCTGGAAATGGAAAGCCCCTCCACTTATATCTAATCTCTTGGAAATACTGTTAAAGCTGTATTGAAGGCATGTGGAACAAAGGAATGGAAACCAGGTAAACTGGTTAATCCATTACTGACACTAGTAGGTATTCATAGAAGTGCTCAGGGTAATGCCAAATAATTGTGTTTTTCCTCATAATATATTGAACACTCAATGGTGAGATTTCCCAAAGATTATGTGGAGAAAGTTATGTCTGATATATGGATAAAGTAAAGTAAATTGACAACTAAATTTGGAAGATTTGTATGGTGATTCATTAGAAAATAGTAAATCCCAGTTAAGATCAGAAAGAGATATTTTATGGTAAATAAATAATTGAATATCAGAAGACAAAACCCCCTTGGGTACAATGAATTATATCAACATTTATTTAAAGATTTCTAAGAATATATACCTATAATGTGTGTTAATGGATAATTTAATCAATATCGTATTTGAAGTAGCAACTTGTGAATGTTAAATAAAATACCAATATTCTTTAGGAGACTAATACCCAGTGTACAAATGTCTTCACATATATAAATAGTCTACACTTTGGGAATGTTCTTACCAAATTACCGTTTACCATATAAACTTCTCTGGTCTCAATGCTTTCAAATTTGATTGACATTTTAGCCAAATAATTTTTTTGTTGTGGGGTGATATATTGTAGGATGTTTATCAGCATCTATGGCTTCTACCCACTAGATGCCAGTAGAGTACTCCTCCCCCCAGCTGTGACAACAAAAAATGTTTCCAGACATTGCCAAATATCCTCTGGGGGACAAAATCATGCCGGGTTGAGAACCACTGCCCTAAGTTATATTAGCTGTTTTATTTGTTCGAGTCACATTGAAATTACTATAAACTAAACTCTAGAAAACTCACATATATTACTAAGTAATATCTCCCCTATTTTTAATTTCTTTGTTCATTTTTTTAGAATTCAAAGATGGAACCTTATATTTTACCTACTAATTACAGATCAGTGTGCTTTTCAGTACAAAGTTTGGAGTAAGGAAACACTGTAAAACTGATTTCAAAAAGAAAGGAAACCTATTAAAATACAGAACTGAAAAACAGAGATGTAAAAATCACTTGTTTCATTTCTCAACCAAATCATACATTTTGTAACTTACCCTCTGATTCTGTAGCTTTCTCCTTTTCTTTTATGTACCTCTCTATTACAATAGAGAAATAGAGAAAACTTCCTATTAAATACTAATCTTTGTACATATCCTCTCCCGTAACTTTCTGAAGGATTTTGCTTCTTTAGTTATTATTCCCTCTGTCCCCTACCACCAATCTCTCTTTCTCTATGGATCATTCAATATTCACATCAACTTTAAAATATGCTCTTTATCTAAAATGAAAAAAATCCTTCTTTTAATACTTTATTCCAATGCAGGTACTGACCTATTTTTTTGGCACCCCTTCATAACCAAACATCTCAAAAGAGTTATTTACTTGTGCTGTTTCCT